ATGCATATGCGTGTGAAGGAACATCGCAAGCGGCGCCAGGGTATCTATTTTCGTACCAAGTTCCTCCGATGTCAGGGTTCTTTTCGTAAATGACATGCTCAACACTGCACAACTTAGTATTGATCTCTTTGCGTTACATTGGGTGCCCTTACTTCTGGCATTGTTTCTGAATGTGATATGCCATCATGATCCCGGAAACTCCTGCACCAATTGTGAGGACCTTGAGGCGTCGATTTTTAGGATCACGAAAGGTAATGTCAGGTATTTGATAACCATCGGCAGAAATGTTCAACGAAGCGTCGCTTTGCGTGGTCAACTGAGAAATATCTGGCGCCATGCTGAGAATTGGAAATAACGAGATCAAGACTTAGGATCTAAGAAAAAGACTATCGGGAGTATGATAGAAAGGAAGTCTATGTATATAGTACAGACTATATGAGAATTTGAGAAAAAGCAGACCACTTTCATATCTAATGTCGCCTTGTAATTAAGGAAACTTCCAGTCCCCTTCCCACCCCGCACACATAACGGTATTGCATAACTTTTCATATGCATGGTATACACGCGCATGAGGCTATATTCATTTGCCGACTTCGGGAGAGCCATATCCTTGGTACGTACCTGGGTAGCATGCACCAGATATTCTCGGATGAATGGATTATGCGTGCATTATTACTAAGATTGCCACTTGCATAATAGGTGGGTAGGTACCTAGTGATAGATAAGGGAATTGCGTGCCTATACGAAGTATGAGTGTTGTTATGGATCACTCCAGAAGATGGCCAGATGATTGATGATGAATACCTATTGGGAATCTATCTGATGGTCACGTGTCGTCGTACCAATCCAATTTATCATGAAAGTACTAGGTACGTACGGAGCAAATTATGGGTGAGATTGATAAGGATTAGATAAGGATCTGATAGTACTGGTGTACTGGTGTACCTACACTACGATGTAGTAAGCACTCTCTGCCGTTACAAAGGACAATTTTCTATTGATAACTACTCGTAGGTACGTAGTAGGTACTAGATGCCTTTCTTTGTCTATGAAATCTATGATGGATGGTGTGTTCTGTATGGTGTATCCTGTATGGATTGATTGATTGCCCAGTGAGATACAAAGAACCAGTCCTCTCTATAGGCCATGAGTTACCTACCTAGAAAATGCCAAGGGATGTACCTTCAAGACAAAGCCTATCAAAAGATCTTTTAGCATCTAAATTTAGTACCACATGGCCAATATCTTCCTTAAGTCGACTCTGTACTAATCAGTAGAGAAATTCATCGACCGTCAAGCATTCATTCATTCATTTCGGTGGTACCAGTACCTCCTGTGTGTTCCTAGTACATCCATACCCAAGTGTCGTCCTAAGTTTACCTAATACTGTTTGTTAGCTCATAAGATCTCCATCCCCATCCCCATCCACATCCACACCCCATCTCATCCCATTCTCTTACCCTCTTTTCCATCATAGATTAACTTATCCATACCGTTACATTTTTATCACTGGTTGCTCATACGTACTCACCCAATACTCACTCAATCTATTGATGTAATCTTAATATTATTCATACCATATCCATTTTCCTTTTCCTCTTTCTCTTCAAACATTCTTTTCTCGAATTGATTTACCCCTCGACTTGTTCTACTGTCATTCTATGCTACTAGATATCTAGGTACTATTTCAAAGAAGAACACATTTTACATCAAAGGGCGACCATGACTACAGCGATAGATTGGGATAAGCCGGGGAAATACCCCGTCGTTCTCAGCGATGCCTTGCTTGGAAATTCTACCAACAATACATATACTGGCATAAGATGCAAGTTGGGTCGTCTCAATGTAATGAAATCGTCTACTGACAATTGTTAGATAATCACAAACCCGATGCCTCGATCGGAGCCCCCGCGAACTCAGCACAGCTGAAACCATCTTCCAATCCCAGTTCTGCGAATTACGACCTCTCTCTTTCTGACAACGATGATGATTATACATATACTGGAGCTCGAACCTCCGGAGACGGTCAATTTATACTTACATTCGATCCCGTTAGAAAGGTCTTGGTTTTGGATCGCATTGATTCAACATTCGATATGAACTTGACGAGCGCGCCATGGACTGATGATGCCGCTCAATTACAATCTCAATACGAGCAGCTGGAGCCACCGACGAAGGCTATCATTGAGGAACCTCAACCTAAAGCACCACAAAAGAAGGCTCCAAAATCAAAGGCTCCAGCAGCAACAAAAGCGAAACCTGCCCCTCGCGCGAAGGCAGAGAAGGCACAGAAGCCGAAACCACCACCGCGTGAACCAACACCCGAACCAGAAGAAGAAGAAGATTCGGATGATGGTTTCACGGTTGAATTTCCAGATGGGCAGAGCTCGCATCAACAATATGAGTATAGGGCACCAATTTTTCAAAGAGAGCCAAGCGAAGAAATCAGTGATGAAGACGAGGATGCAGATGGAGATCACGATGGAATCTATGAACAAAACCAGGATGTTGATCATTTGAAACTCCCTAGTCCAGTCAACAACCCTGGAGTCATGGGTGATCAAGATGTAATGGATCTTGAGGCTGATCTGGAGGCGGAAATGGAAAAGGAGCTGCTAATGCAGGTAGAAAGTGATGAAAGTGAAGAGGAATGAATCTCGACATGTGTATTGCAGCCATGCTTATTGGAGCGTATTTCAAATATCAGGGCGTTTCGTAAGGGGTTGGAGTATTTCGTGGGAAATATGGCAATTAGGATTCTTGTGTTGGCATACACCGTAGGTACGGAAAGCATTTCACCCTCGTGGGTGACGATGGAAAATACAACATTATCTTACAGCATCATTTAGTTTCTATGAACAAGTTCTAACAAACCAAATCATTCTTCCTGTTCTAACAATAGCCTCCGTGATTGCAAGTGCTTTCTTTGTTTGATCTGAAAGGAATGTCGTCCTTCTCTTTGCAAGAATAAATCGCTGATGATTGCCCCTTTATCAATCTCTATGAGTTTATCTTCTGTCAATCGACATAAAGAAACAATCGCAGTATAGCGAGCATCCCCACCACACAATTCTATCATGTCCACAAGCTCCAAGTCTTTACCCATCATTTTCTCCATCTCCATCTCCATCATGTTTATAATCCAAGGCTCAACTGGTTTGTCAGAACCCATTTTATCCACAACGTCAAGGCGAACAGGAACAGTGCAGATTCTATCAAAACCCTCCTTTTCAGAATATTCAACAGATTGAAGTTGGATATAGGGCAGGTATCTAGGTATCTAGCTAGGTAGATGAAGTTATGTTGAGTTGTGGATTTGGGATTTAGGATTTAGGATTTAGGATTTGCTTTTCTTGATATGGTTTTCTTGATATGGTTTTTTGATATGGTTTTTTGATATGGCTTTCTTGATATGGTTTTTTGATATGGTTTTCTTGATATGGTTTTTTGATATGGTTTTTTGATATGGTTTAAATGGTTTAAATGGTTTAAATGGTTTAAATGGTTTAAATGGTTTAAATGGTTTAAATGATTGAAATGGGCAGTCCCTCTTTGGAAAACAAATCGATTGGTAGAAAGAAGGTTAGTAGGTTGCGAGATGGTGGTGGGTTTTATGTAGGTATGTTGTTTCATTATATAACAGTTTAGTTTAACGCGAGAATTGTAGTGATAGTGATAATCTTGGAATGATTGGGGGTTTGGTTTGTTCTTTGGCTTTTGGCAATGTTTGGGGGGGGATGGGGGGGTTGTGTATATTTACATTTCGCCGCAACGTCATGTATATATCGGTATCTAGGTATGTATTATATAAATTTTACACATAAATAGAATGTAAGATTACATTCGCAGCATCGATTAGTCGATGAGACATCTTCCTCACCCAGGATATACCATCCCAATCTAGATATCCATTCAAAAGCATCTCGTCTCGCAGTCGATACTCAACCAATCGAAAAAAAAAACACTTCGCTCGTTAGCTGCAAATCCTCATTTATATCCAATATACTCGACTCGTTTACCTTCGATGTCTACAATTATCTACAACTAGTTGAATGGCTGGAGTGGCTGGCTTTTTCCTCGTACATCATACATCATATCATCGGATTGACATACGTATTTCGCTAAGTTTGTTTCGCGATGATTACATAGGTAGGTAGGTATCGTGTCGGGTGTTGGAGATACGCTCTATGCATTTATCGCGGGTGTGTGTGTGTGTGTGGGAATAAGATATCTAGATATTGTATTGTATTGTATTGTATTCCGGGAGCTTGGTGGAAAGGATTTGGTAGGTTTTATGTACTGGTTAGATGTGATGGGTTGTTAGATCATGGAGTTTGGTTACTAGGTAGGTATGTTTATATTAGAATGTGTTTGTAGAGGGAGAATATATGATGGCTTTTTTGTGTGGGATGGATGTTTGGAAGGAAAGGAAAGGAAAGGAAAGGAAAGGAGATTGGTGGGATGTTGTGGTGTGGAATGTGGTTGGGGATTTGGGGATTTGGGGATTTGAACATAGGTGAGGATGTTGATGGTGTTATGGTAGGATTCCTATATATACTAATAGGTCATGCCAACTGCCTTCAAAATCCGCAAGGCTAGGTAGGTAGTTAGTGTCAGGGGTTAATGCTACCTGGACTGGACTCCTTGTCGTAAGGAAACCGTACTGTTCACGGCTTGAATTCCTCATTTCTATATATTCAAAGAAACTCTCTCGAGGAAAAGAATAAACTCTTATTCTTTGATTATTTGTTTGTTTGTTTGTTCTTGAATTCGATTGTAACCGCATGCGGGGATTTTCTTTCATACCATGTATAGGACATCTTGTGGTAGATCGCGCACAAAGAATTTAGATTTATTATATGGTTTCGTGGATAGACAGATAGTGAAAGGAAGACATGTTGAGTGTGATAGCTATAGCTTGGTTTTACTATTGATACATCTATTGAACCTTTCCATCATCTACTCGGTTTCAGGAAACTCCACGACGTAATTATCTCGTAATGGCTAATTGGTTCGGTTGGGCCCCATGGGCAAAGCCGAGGGGACGACAGCCCCGTCCGCGACGCGATTCACGGCTTTCTTCTGAATCGCGCTCGAGATCGCGCTCGAGATCTTCATCTCGACCGCCTAGAAGACGGGCGAAGGAGCTTAATCCGGCGGAAAGGTTGGCGAGAGAGAAGAAGGGAGAGAGAGAGAAAGAGATGGAGGCGGAAAAAATAAGATTCATGGAACCTGCTGCGAGAATCGCTTATAGCGAGCAGAAGAAAGTCCAGCATGAGAATAGAATCAAAAAGCTGAAAGGGAAATTTGCAAGTCGTAAGAAGAAGTTGGCAGAGAAACATCAAGAGAAGGTTATGGAAGAAAACCGTGGGTGGAAGAGAAAACATGAAGATGATGCTGTAGTCCAAGCCGCAATGAGACGACGAACTTTTTTGGAAAATCGGGGGAAGAAGGTTCCAGTATCGCAATCGATGACGACGAATTTCGAGCGCGAGAGGAATAAAATCCATACTACGGCATTGTTTGAGAAGATTTATGCGGATCTTCAATATCACTTCTTGCACCCTACGTTGATCAATTCCGATACGTACGATCCTTATGAAGGGCTGTTTGACGATCTTGCTGGGGTATACTTGCGATTTCTATTCTTGGCTCAAAACCCAGAAGACCATGCGAGAGGGATAGGCATTGATAGTGCTTGCGTTCTCATGCTTTCACAGAATTTCCGCACCGCATTGACTTATGGAGAATTGCCTGATGGAACTTTCGCCAAGCAGGGTCAAGAGGGGTACTCACAGACTACTAGATGGGACGAGTTCCTATTGAAGCTCCAGTTGGAACATTTTAGCATCAGAGGCTTTGCTATCGCACGACATATTCCATATATGAAGGTTTTTGCTCGCAGCGGTTTGTTCATGTTTGAGGGCGATGTGCGGCCAGCGAATTTGAATCTTCAGCTGGATCCATCGATCAGAGATCCGTTTGAAGTGTGCCTTGGAGGGGATGGAACAGTTTATCCTTGTCTGTTCACGCCCCTTCCTGGCGAATTCGAATCTGTACATCAGGGTGTCTTCAAGCTTCCATTCAAAACCCCGAAAGAAAACGTAGAAAAGTTGGGACCTGCAAAAAACCGTGTGGTTCCACTCCGCTTTCAAAATCTGAAAGCCAACGTATTTAACAGAGAGATTTTTAAACAATATGATCCCCCGTCAACATGGCCACCGAGCTGGGAGTATCCACCTGCGGATATTCAGCATCCATGTCGAGAATGGGGGAAGAACTATCCGTTGTGTGTTGCTTGTGGTCTCCGAACGGGGCCTTTGGAAGTAGTAGAAGAAGAAGTGCAGGAAGAGCCAGAAGATTCGGAAAATGCAGAAGATTCAGAAGAATCAGATGCAGCAAAAGCACCCGAAAAGGAGTCAATCTGTCGCTGCAAGACGATCGATGTTTTTAATCGAATCTTGGTAGAGATCAAAGAATATCATTCCGAATCGACGTCCAAAGTGGCTGACTCTGTTGACCGCGGAGTCAGGATCTTACAAAAGGTCCCAAGAGGTCATATCATTTCGGAAGTCCTTGGAGAATTCATCCCACTTGGTGCCGAGAGTGATTTCAAATGTCCTTCTACATTCTCTGTCGACTTTCATGCACCACCTGCCGTCGACAAGTCTGGGAAAGTTCTAGAGATTGACCCGGATGTTGTGGTGAAGAAGACCATTGACACCAATACAGAACCGATCGCAACGCTGATTACTGGCCACAAAGGTGGATGGACGAGGGTGATTAATAAAGGCACGAGTCAAACATCAAATGTTGAATTTCGCTCGGAAGTCTGGGCAGGGAAATTACGCATCACTGTTAGAGCGTTGAGGGATATAAACTTTGGAGAACAATTATTTGGTATGTTTCCCCCAAACTCATCGCCTAATCGCTGCTTTATCATGTTTTACTATGATACTTGTGAAATTTCCAAGGGGATGCTTTATCCTTCGGCTTCTTCAGAGAACCTCTGGGATCGGTTTTCCAATGAAAGAATTACTTGCTGACTTCTCAAACCTGCAGTCCGATGGGGAGATTCGTACCTAGAACCTGATGGACAAACGTTGCATGCCAAAAAGAAGGATCAAGATGAGAGGTTACCGATGAGAGCACTTAGCGGATTCTATAAGTGATATGGAAAACAGTAAAGGAAATATGAATCTTTTCTTGAAGGGAACGAGGGTACTTTATTTTTAGTCTCGTGTGGTTTCGTTGGTGAAAACATTGAGATTCCTTACCCGGGTAATTGATAGCGCCGGTAGCGAAAGGGGCTAATGACAATTGAGAACTGAATCAGTAACCTACAGACTGTAGGACAACAAACTATTACATACATGCATACATACATATATTGATTTCCCATTTCGTTCTTGGTATTTACCAAATCAATCACATATCGAGTGGTTTCTAACTCCGATGCCGTGAGATAAACCGCTCTTAACCGAGGTAAGTGAGAAGGATTTTGTAGATCCGTGGGGAAGGTGGTATGGTCAAAGACCTGTGGAATGCGGTAATGCCTAGGTACAGTACGGGTAAAGAGCAATCCAACAATCTCATTATTTCCAAACTAAATTCTTGTGCCTTTTGGTTTCTTGATGTGAAAAGTTTATTTGTCCTCATTGATTGATAGAAAAGCAAAGAGAGAAAACAATGTCGACAATTAATCGTAGTGTTCGTACGGTATCCAGAACTCTTCGACTACCAGCCCAATCACGAAACTTCAGAATCCCACTTTCTCTGCGAAGTCGTGCAAACTTCGGAGCTTCAACAAGAACAACACCATCGCTCAAACAATTCTCCACCATGTCTCCTTTGCAATCTGGGGCCCCGCCACCACCCCAAGCTCGAGAGTACGATCCTGAGATTAAGGATATCGCCAGCTATGTTCATAACACCCCAATTGAATCTGATCTTGCTGTGAGTTTTGCCAAAGAACAACAATATTGATTACCCCGCTAATTGATTTTGACAGTTCGACACAGCTCGATTTGTTTTCCTCGACACTCTAGGCTGCGGTCTCGAAGGTTTACGATTCAAGGAATGTACAAAATTGTTGGGTCCAATCGTTGAAGGAACTATTGTTCCTAATGGCACAAAGGTCCCAGGTACACCATTTCAGCTCGATCCTGTAAATGGTGCATTCAATATTGGTGCCATGATCAGATGGCTCGATTACAATGATTGCTGGTTGGCTGCAGAATGGGGTCATCCTTCGGACAACTTGGGTGCAATTCTCGCAGTGGCAGATTGGATTTCGCGAACAAATAGAGCTGGTGGAAACCTCGGCAATGGCAAGGTCATAACTATTAAAGAGGTTTTGGAAGCTATGATTAAGGCACATGAGATTCAAGGTTGTCTGGCACTCTTGAACTCTTACAACAAGGTCGGTTTGGACCATGTTGTACTTGTCAAGGTTGCTAGTGCCGCTGTAGTTTCTAAATTGTTGGGATTGAGCGAGAAGCAAACTGCAGATGCAGTTTCACAAGCTTGGGTTGATGGACAGAGCTTAAGAACATACAGACACTCTCCAAACACCATGTCAAGAAAGTCATGGGCTGCTGGTGATGCTTGCCAACGTGCCGTAAACTTAGTCTTGAAGGTTATGAAGGGCGAGCCTGGTGTTCCTACAGTTTTGTCTGCTCCAGTCTGGGGTTTCTACGATGTTCTCTTCAAGGGTAACAAGTTTGAATTCCAACGTCCATATGGCAGCTATGTCATGGAGAACGTTTTATTCAAGGTGTCTTATCCAGGTATGTCATTCACACATTCTATTATAGTTTGTCATCTAATCTTTTTCAGCTGAGTTCCACTCTCAAACCGCCATTGAAGCCGCAAAACGTATCCGTCAACAATTGGTAGACCAAGGAAAGTCTGCCGCTGATATCAAGGAGATCACCTGCCGAACACACGAAGCTTGCGTTCGTATCATCGACAAACAATTCAAGCCTATGGACAACTTTGCCGATCGTGATCACTGCATCCAATACATGACTGCAGTCATGCTCGTTTTTGGACGTCTTGAAGCTACAGATTATACTGATGGCGGAGAGGCTGCTACTTCTCCTTTGGTTGAATCACTCAGACAAAAGATTGCTTGTGTCGAAGATCCACAATTCACCAAGGATTATCACAATGAGAACATGCGAACCATTCCAAATGCTTTGACCGTCACATTGAACGATGGACAAGTCTTGGAAGAGGTTGTCGTTGATGCTCCGTTGGGTCACAGATTGAGAAGAGAAGAAGCCAAACCAGAAATTTTGGCCAAATACAAGAGACATTTGGGACCACATTTCAGTGAAGCTAAGGTCAAGGAGTTGGTTGACTTGGGCAATGATTCTAAGAGACTTGAGGCAATGGCAGTGGATGAGTATGTTGACTTGTATGTAAGCAAGGACAGCAAGTTTGTTTAGATTGATGAATTAGATGAATACCAAAAATTTTGTTGATTGAGTTCAACTTGGCGATCACAAATTTCGGTCTATGAGATCCATGTATTGATTTATCCTGAAATTAGTGGTGTGCTTTATCACATTTACGTTGCTCATCAATTCTGGGAACCGGATTGTATTGAATTCTGAAGGGAAAAGAGAACTTGTTGACCATTACATGCTTGGTTTTCTGGTCTGGTTTTTGTAAACCATGAGCTACCTGGGGTTTCTTAGGGTTTGTTATGTTGTAGGAAATGCAGAAGGCTTTCACTTGGTGGCTGAGGGTGTTGTTTTCCTCGTCGCTCTTGCTCGGACGGGTATTGACGGATGAGTGGACATATTGCGGGGATGTCACGTGAGGCAACAGATGGTATCATACTTACACCTCTGCGATATCTTATGATTTGAACGTCGCGGACGATTTCAGTCTTTTAACAGATGAGAACAAAGGCAAATCTTCAGTTGATGGGCCGTAGTATGGTCAGCGAGAGTTCATCTAATTAATTGCTTACATCACGTACCGGCATTGCATTCGCTTCATGGTCTGATTTCTTACTCGTAGCATAGATGTATGTAGGCGTTGACTGGATCAATTGCAGGGAATGATATATTGTATCAGACGATGATACTAGAATCCAGCGATATCAAACGACTGTCCTTGCTGAAACGATCTATGCCGATGATCATACTATCACGTGGGTATGATCGACACAGGGGCAGTCTGTGGATATCCTCATCCCACTTTAAGATGCGATGAGTTCCGCGAGATAGCTTCTCATTCGAAGAACTGTTCATCTCTTTTATTGTTTTTCTAAATCTGCCGAAATTTCTATCATTATGGTGTGTAGAAATAGTATGTGTTCGCTTTTCCTGCTGATTTAGTATAATTAGGCCAAACCACTGTCAGATGAAGAAGTTGCTATTCTCAAAGAAGCATTCGATGCATATGTACGTGTTTACCCGCGAAGATGCACTGGTGTTGTGAACTTTCATACTGATATGACCAATAGGACACGGATAAAGGAGGTAGGTTGTGTGAGACTACCTACAGTGTTTTCAGGGCTAATTAGTTTTTGCAGGCAACATTACCGTAGAGGAATTTGGCCGTGTGATGAAACAGTCTGGACAGAATCCAAGCGAAGAAGAACTTGCACAAATCATTAAGGAAGTTGACCTCGATGGCGATGGTACTATAAATTTTGATGGTATGATACCGTGGATCTGTTGCAGGAATATGGGGACATCTACTAAATGCATGCAGAATTCATTGCCATGATGACAGGCCGAACGAGGCAAAAGCCTGATGATCCAAAGCCTATTGAAAATGATTTGAAAGCAGAGTCGGCTGCGATTCCTGTTTCGAGTGCGGAAGATCCAGAGGAAGAGTGGAAATCTGCGTGGAAGGAACATGATCACTCTTTGAAAGGGTCAATCACTGCAGCGCAACTGAGACAAGTTTTGGGAAATCTGGGGGAAATAATTAGTGATGCAGAGATTGACAACGTTATAATGAAGTCGGTAGATGCGGAGGATAAAATTAGTTGTAAGTATCTCAACAGTTCTATGCGGCCAAGAATTTATAGAGAGTGGGATATGTGCTAACCTGACTTCAACTAGATACGGAATTTGTCGAGTTTATGAAGGGGAGATCTACTTCGGGAATATGATAGTAATTAGGGTGTGTATAGCTATAGTAGATGCAGATTACCCAATTCATTTTTTTGCTACCGATTACTGCCTGCTCAGTTTCTACCCAGCTTCTATAGCTGATGGTGAATATCAAGGCTTCAGCTTTCCTTCATTTGGCTCGAATTTATAAGGCTACTAATAAGTTGGACTTTAACTCTTAATCTCACCACGTACCTACCTAGCGGATGTACTTGAGCCTCAAAAGGAAGGAAATAGATGCAGATCGCGCAGTATACGCTGAAGCACGACAGATGTGCTAATTGGACCTCATTGCTCTGCTATTGCTATTTTGAGGAGGTCGAGCCGATATAAAGTGTATTCGTTTTCGTTCTTCCTCGTAGAGTTGGGAAGTTTGATGCTTTTTTTTCCTATCATAGTTTTGCGCTGCTTCACAAGACCTGGTAGTCTCAAGGTTTCTGGTTGATATCCTTTCGGTACACGAACGGAGATTTGTATTTGGATGGACATGTTTCCGTGGTGGTCTGATATTCGCAAATAGCAACAACGAAGCGGAATCTACCATGGAGTTCGCATGTCTCTTGAGTTCAGCTGTAGTAAAGTGGATGTCAACTTGGCGGGGGCTTGGCATGAAATCGAATACTTTTCCGGACTTGATACACACGTTCGTAGGGTTATCTAGGCTTGTATCACTGCATTTGTAAGAGGTTTAGATTGCTATTGCTAGATATTTCCTGGACAGCTAAGCCTGACACAACATGATTTCTCTAAAAATCTATTGCTCGCAACCGTGCTTTCCTCTGTGCTTTAGTCTCGGCTGTTTAGTCCCCTGTTAGCGTAGAAGGATTACGGTGGCTTCTTTCTTGGTTTGTGTTATCTAGGATTTCTTTACAACAACAGCTCAAAAAATATGAAAACGCCTTGGCTCAAGTTTCCTGGTATTCCTGACGCCGTAACATAAGTCGACAATGGTGGAGAAAAACACATGTACTGAAATTATTTCCTTTGTTTCGATACAATTCGGAGTGTTGTCATTCAAAAATTTGCAATAACCCTATTTCAAGAAAAAAAAGGTTAGAAAAGTTCGTATGTAGAACGATAAGTAATAAGGGGGTCATACCTCTCTTCCTAATCCAATGCATGCATCTTTAGACTAACAAAATGAAGATTAAACTTCCAGTGCTTAAGATTCTAGAATTTGTCGATTTCAAATTGTAGTGCAAACGGCTAGAGCTTGTTGTGCCCTGTGCTCTAGGCAAAGAGGTTTGGTTCAATGAATTTTTTTCCACATCACCCCTTGGTGAGATCTGCCGGCCAAGTTACACTCTTTTTGGATTTCGGGCTTAAGTCTCTGGAATTGCGAGATACACTGGCGTTCCGCGAGATATTTGCACTTATTTGGTCGCTGGAGGTCATGCGAGATCCGGATCCCTCATGTCGCGGTATTTCGAGAAGTGTCGCTTTCGAATCTTCTGCTGATAAAGGTACTGACTTTAACATATAGTCTGGATCTCCTTTCGCCATTCGATAGAATTTCTTCATTTTTTGATGGAACACGCTAGCTTTGATACGCTCATCTGCGTCAATGAGTAGAAGGTCGTCCATAATCAATTTCAATAGATCGTGGATAAGCTGCGAGCATCTCTCGTGCTGATGCAATTGCTCAACCCATAGTATGACTCCGGCTCGGATGGTAGCTTCCGAAGAACTATTTGATTTTCGTGGGATGGTAAAGAAATTGTCATCGTTAATGTCACTGAGTCCTGCACTATTACCTCTCCAATCCGCAAATTCGTCTATGCCAGCACTACCTTTCAAAAGCCATGTTATGAATTCGAGCCACACACATCCACAACTCCAGATATCATAAGCTCGAGACACCGGGCGGCGAAGCTTACATTCAGGAGGCTCATAGGTTGGGGATGAGAGTATCCCAGAAGGTCTTATTCCTGATTTTGAATCTCTGCCATGAAATCTCCCGAGGCCAAAATCGGCCAGCTTTAGAACACCTCGTGGATCTGTTGCTTCAGGACCTTCCGAAAAATATAATATATTTTCCGGCTTAATATCGCCATGACGACCGAACATTTCTTCGCCTGCACGTACGCTTATTTGACCGTCATCTTCCGTTTGCACACGGACATTTGCCGCACCGCCAACGTTCAGTGGAAATGTAACTTCAAACACATGCAATCGTAACAATGCATCGGAGAGCCCATACATTTGTGTCAATGCCCACATAACTGTTCCGTTATCAAATTCCGGAAGTGAGCGTTGGTCCCAATAAGATCTTAAGTTACTCTCTGCATATGGAAATATGAGATGATATTTCCCCTTTTGTCGATAAGTAGCCAATAATCGAATCAGGTGTGGGTGTGGTGGCGATTTACTGCCCAGAGTTTTCAGGACATCACGCTCCTTCTTAAACTCTATCTCATCGGTCGAAAACAATTTTTTAACGGCTACTAGTGGCTCCTTTGCCTAGACCTCATTAGTACATGTTTTCAATAACCAAATCTCAGTCTTACCTTTACGTGATCGCTATTCCAAAACTCATGATGAGAAGAATGAATATTCACGGGGAAAACCTCGCTGTACGCTCCCTGCTTGGTCTTCATTTCATCTGCATCTTCGCCGTCAAAGGGAAGGAAAGGTAGAACCTCCCTTGTGGTGAGTTCAAGTTCTGCTTTGTCTTTGAACACAGGTGCTATCATCCACCACTGTGTATTGAAGAACTCTTCCAACTCTTTATCCCTCCAATGATCAATATCCTTTACTCGCACCCCTGTTTTGAGGAAAAGACCACCTTTTTCTCGCGTCTCTGTTTCGGGGTGGAGAGCACCTCGAATGTACTTTAAAGGAAGATCCTTGTCCGAAATCTTCTGTCTCGCAAGGTGACACACATCCGCACCCCTTTCCATGTAGGCTAAGGTCGCGTATAGTTTTCTTCCATTATCGCGCGCCCACCGCGCATAAACTCTTGCTGTGTTAATTGGTATCGAGGTGTCACATCTGAGTATATCGTCTTCAATCGCCTCGACGGTGAGTATCGAGTCTTGGCGACATATAGGAATGAAAAATTGACCCGATTGCGGGGAAGCTTCCTTTCGACTACCACTTAATTTTTCTTGTAGTGAGACGAGTTGACGTCCGCCTGGCTCTCTTCTGCCAGGAGCTGGTCGTCCATTTGTGGATATTCCTGGATTAGGGGATTCAAGATTGATAGTCGCATTACTTGTGTTGCTCTAAGTAGTGTCAGCGAGCTAGTCAGTGGTGACCACCAAAAGAACAATTCAGCTTTCTTACCGAAGGCTGATCTCCATTATTTGGCAAAGACTTTTTATCTCTTGCGCCTGATTCACCTCTTGCCGAGCGGCGGAAAAGTTTCATGTTGCAGCTGAGAAGTTGAATAAGTCCCATTGGGATATGCGGAATTGTGGCGATTATCTATGAACGCATGTGCTTTCTTATAAGGCACGATTGCGTTCTTTTGAGTGGCACAAGCCTCCATTATGCAAACTGAATACTTCATTTAATCGGTCGAAAACAGCTGAGGAAGGCAAAGTTGTAAGCCTCCACATACAACACTCATGAGGCTCTAAGGTCGCGTTTTGGGTCGCCAGCACAGGCTCCTTATGTCATTGGCATTGATACAGTATTTTTTTGATACCTTTTTGGGGGGTAGTAAGCCAAACCCTTGAAAGATTAAGACGGTGTCCCAAAATGGAAGGTGCTGTAAACCACATTCGCATGTGGGTGGTGATCATGGATCCTGAAAGACAGTATCAGCGCCTAAGCCTCCACACTTCTGTTTAGATTCCAATCTCTCGTGTGGGAAGTTGGAACCATCACTGTTAATATGGTTTCTGTCGAGTTCATTAGAAGTAGAAATTGGACATTTAACGGGAAGGCGCAGAGTTTGCATGTGAAATTCTCTTCCAATGGGGCAGGGCTCTGAGAAGCTGTTTCTTAGCATCTGCTTCCCTTGAAATGTGTGAAAAATCGGTCTAGACAAATATCAAATTCAATCAGTAATGACTCCTAAATAACATGACTGTATTACACGGGTTCATCATTTGTCTGACGAAAGTGGCCAGTAAAATACAACCAGCGAGATGTAAGCTGCGCATAACTTCAACCTACCAGTGGAGGAAACAAGCCATTTCTTAGATATGATCTGCAAGAACTGGGGTAAAGAAGTGGGGTATTTCGGGGCTTTTATTGAATCACATAGGTCGTTGTCTCTAGTCCATAGATGAGTGACCCGATACAGAAACATTTCTGCTACTTTGGACCAATTTTGCAATTCAGGACAACCACTGATAGTAATAGGAGCCGTAACTCAGACATGGCCTTGGATATGCTATATGCATTGCTACAATACTATAATGTGATGTAACCCTCCTCATAATTTGCAAAAGATAACCTCAGTATCTGTCAGCGAATGCGAGATAAATGTGGCTAGCCTGACTTGATAGTTGTCGCTGTAGTTGACCAAGTTCCCGCACCAGAGTCCCGAAAAGATAGTGGCGGAGCCATATTTGTCACATGAGAAGAAACCCCTGCTTCGATATCTAACCTTCCAAGGCTGTTCCTCGATGTAGAAAAATTACTCAAGCCTTTTCTCCTGGAAGATATGAAAGACCGAAAGCTGTTTTGACGGCCAGAATTTGATTTCTCAGATACCATTACCTCTTTCTTCACTTCAGTGAGGTAAACCCAAGCCCACCACAGAATTATGGTTAAAGCTGTCAAAGGTATCGAAATGGCTGCTAATATCCAAGAATTCTCTGTTATTGTCATGTGTCCATTATCGCTCGTCTGCACAAATTGGGTGGAGAAGAAATTCTAAGACGAATTAGTATATTGAATGAACCTGATGCTCGGATACTGACGGCAACAATTGTAGTGGGCAGGTAGACAAGAGTGATTATGGTCAAGATTTTGACAGCTGCTGCATCTTTTGTGCTTCTCTCCTATAGATTCATTAGCTCTGCTTTTAGATGTATAGTCATAAATACTCACAGTCAAATGATGCATTGATTTATTCTCTTCGTGATTTAAGAAATCCGATAGCTGCAGTAGGTCAATTTTTGCGAAAGCTACCGTTTGACTTGCCGCACATACCAAAGTTACAGTTGACTGTATTCGATCTTTCAAGTCTTTCGCATGACCTAGATATGACTCCGCATCCTTCACATACTCGTCGAATTCTCTCTGGATCAGGTAATGAGATGCTCTATCTTCAGGCTCCATCTGTTTTCCAAATTCGTTTGCATATTCCTTGCATTGGTCCCGAAGGCCAGTAATGGTTTCTACTTTGGTCCGAAGTATCATCAAAAGGTCAAGCACAAAATCTTCTAAGACCTTCAATTCCTGCCGTGATTCAAACCCTATTCCGTGTGCTGAGGAAGAGTCTTCTTCCATGTCATCGGTGGCGCAAATTATCAAGTTTGTCTGTGGAAATTTACTGTCAGAATTGGGTCATCGAGCTTGAATATTCGGAAAGCATACTTGTTCTCTCAGTCTTGCTTCAATGCTTGCCATATAGTCCGGCCATCCCGAAAGACTATCTGATACTAAAAGTCTGTGCAGATTCCAAGACGATGTCTGTCGCTTGTCAGCGGCTCTTTCTTCGAGATATGCTGTCATTCTCATCTCTGCATTAGAGGAAGGTGCAATGATCAAGAGCATCGAGGGCGCACTTTTGAACGAGATGGGTAGCGAAGAAGTTTCATCAGGTTTCCTTCCATGATAAACTGCTGTCTGGCGAATAGACCAAGGGTTTGTTCCTCCTCGCCCATTTAGCTCTACCTGACGAATCACATACATCAGATCTGTTTAGCTAATATCTCAGCTTTCATCCATCTCGATTTTGTTTAAAAGGTGCGAGACACACCTTTGAGCTCATATGGATCAGTTATGTCCAACGTCTTCCTTATTCTGCTTCTTAATCTAGGAAATTCGAACTCATTCTCTCTCTGCTTTAGCCCAAACGCAAATACGCACTTCCAAAACTCTTCGCAGACTTCATAACTGTTAATTAAATGCTCAAATAGTGCTCTCTCGATGTTCAACCTTGCCCAGCATCTATCGTGTCGTACAATGAAGATTTGACAAACATCATCCGTCTCTCTGAGGACATTGACTTGCGAAACTTCACAGACCTCTAGATTCTTCTGGAAAGTGGGAATAATTGGCTGTTTCCTTATGTTGACAGATTTGGAGAGCCTAATGACTTGGAAGGAGCTCTTTTCCGCTGTTTTGATGAATAGATTATTCGCCCTGGCTTCAATTTTGCATTGAAGTGCCTTCGAATCGTCAAGATGAAGATATTGAGCCATGTCCAAATATCAGATACAACAGACACTACTCCTCGCTCTATGAGCATATAAATATTCACATAGAGTGTCTGATCATACGATAAATGATTTCCTTACCCCAAGCGAAAAGATTGACCCCGCACACAGCCCATAATAGCCTTGCATATGAGCACAACAATCACTGCAGCTGACGGCTCTGATAACACGTCGTTCAAGAGGCGAATTCCCATTTGAAAATATCATGGTGTCTAACCATAGTCGTTTACTGATTAAAATAACAATTGATATCTCAATCGTTGGTCTAGATTGTAGTCTGAGAATATGGTAAGCGATTCCGTTTTTGAGTTTTTATATGATTTGTTTAAACGTATCTAGAACGTTGAATTTAATTGCAATTCTAAGATAAACAATGATGAACTCTCTAGCCTGGAAACGGACATCGGTTTTCCCAAAGTTTTTAAAGGTAAAGAACAACACCCATACTCCATAAAGAGAAGACTAGCAGAATTATGATTTCTCATAATTAGCAAAAATGCCAAATGAGATAGAGCAAGCTCTTCCTGTTCGACACCAGCCAGATCAACGATTGCGCCTTCTATATACTCGACAGTCTTGTATTTGTTCCTAAAATGCATCAATCAAAACATTATTCAAGAATATTTTGGTTGACTGGTTGTTACCTCAGTTAACGTTTGAACATTATCATTATCAGAAGGACGGTATATCTTGTAGCGATTTAATCTCAACTAAGAACAAAGGTATTAGTTCTCATCACGAGAAGAAGTAAATAGTTGATTTTTACCTCGACTCGAAAATTGTTATTGCCATCAACTGTCCCATACACTCGTTGTAACAGGCTAATCAATTTTCGAGGGTCCACATAATGTCCGTCAATGACTTGAGGGGATAAACAGGGCGCAGTGGAAGCCATATCGACAAAAAAGAACGAAATTAACGAAAAGAAGGCAACTGAATTTGGCAGTGAAAGAAAAAAAGGCAATCGTGAGTCACAAAACCGCGGGCAGAAATTGGTTTATCAACGTCCTTAATTCTTTCTACCTGACTGCCGTTCTTTCCTCTGGTGAATTTCTCAGCCAGTCAAATCCAGACAAGTAAGCACTAAATCATGCAGGCAGATTTCTTCTGCATGCTCAGCCACTCTTTGCCGCTGATTCCGTACAAGAATTAATCTCATCCTTTCGTTACGCAGGTTAGTGCCCGTACTTTGGTGAGAGGAAAGAGAAGGGGAAAAAAGCCAAACAAACAAGTGTCAGAATCTCTGGCGTCTCCACGAAAAATCGCCCACGTCGAAGCTGTGTATTCTGATCAGCTCGAAACACCCCAAGGACCCCTAGGGCTGCTGAAGAAAAACATGATGACTGACCTTGACCTCAAAGTTCTGCCCAGGGAAACGGCCTTTCAGAAAAGCCTTGAGCTTTTCCACATCCACATATCTGTTTTCTATTGTTTGCTTTGCCGGCATGTCTTCCGATTCGTGTGATGGGCAGGTAAAGCAAGCCCTCGGGATAAGGATATTATTTCTTGAAAGAAACTCAAGGATAAAATGTTCGCCTTTATGGTAAGAACAAGGCCACTTGAAAAGGTGGTATTACCACCTGCTAGGCCGAGTACAGCCGGAAAGAAACGAATCGGCGACTTTCTAAGTTTCCGCACGTGATTATATATTTCTTCACAACTTATTCAGTTGTGATAGCAGAAAGTGCACTAAGTGGAAAGCTTGGAGTGTTGGGTTGTATCTATCACTCTCTCGGCGAACAAGTGTAGCTCGACATCAGGTTTCATTTAAAGCGATCCATTCGATTGGTTCGACGTTGACTAAATAACTTAACCGATTGGGACCACTGTTCAAGCTGTCAAACATCGCACAACATCGTTGTTCTTGGGTCCTATGAAGGCTAGTTTGGTATCTTTGATGATATACTCCATCTCGTTATCATGCACAGTGCTGGAATTCATCGTGGAAAACCTAGTTGGGTTCTGCCAACAATCTCTTGTATTGTCCCTTCAAAGTAGAGTCTAGACAACGAAAGCCGAAAGCCTCATGCCTTTTTCGGTTTCCGGCTCTCCTAAATTACTCTGTATCAACCGATAAACGGCGCCTTTCATCTCTGAAATCGGTATAGCAGGGCCCCCGACTAGCATTATTGAACTTCGAGAGTCCAATTAGCGCAGTCAGCCTAAAGAGACACAGCTGCAACGTACCGAGTACTGGAAAGCCCCAACACGTAATCGTACAGTAATCTCCACGGACTTGGAAACAGTAAGTGCACTTCATATCGTTAGTCATTAGTCCTCACCGAGATTGTTTGATGGAGAAACAGAATAAAATCAGAAATCCTATGGTTGGTGTACCCAAATCTGAACTCAACTGGCAAGGAGTCTTGTTGGCATGCATGGGGCGGTGTCCTCAATATAAGACATGGGCTTTGCTGAGCTGTAATACTAGACCACGACATTATGCCACTGCTATTGATTAGTACTCCATTGATCTAATGTCAGTGGTGGACTACCAATAAGCGAGGTGGGGGGAATGTTTTCTACGGAGTAATAAATATTCTGGATGCTGCAAATGATAATCACTAGAGGTATCATTCTGTTAGGCAAACCAGAGCCTCATTGCTCATCCCTAATTTAGAGCTTCATAGGGCGACGAGAGCTCTTTACTTATCTCCACAAATAAACTAGATTTCACAAAGACCATCTTAAGCGAAAGCGCTACTGCATTTCTAGACCGTTATCAACGGCCCTCAAACTATGGTTGTGCAAACAATGGAACCTTCACTTACCTAGTGATTTTCATTGCTCATCAAAATATGTCTACATGCAGAGATCTCTCAAATGTAAGTGAAGTTCTATAAGGCATATATGTTTGAAGGGCAACCATTTGAGATTAGGCTTTTTGTAGGGTGTCGGAAGAAATTGCAGATTGATGTGGCAGGTGCGCTTTTCTTATTAGCCACGGTACGATGCTTTCCAAAGTCTCGGATCAAAAGGAAACATTATCATGAGCATTCAAGGGCATATAATTGACTGATTAATATTATCATATGAATTTGTTTATTCAACCTATCATAGCCTCCACCAAATATGATTCATTCCTATTTATAAGTAATTTCAGAGCTTTTGGTACCTTCCCATAACTTGATTGACCAAATTTCATTGTTATCAGATGGACAATTTTGTTCAATAATGCAAGGGTACTCCTCCCGATTCACACAGATCAAGAAATCCAACCCATCAGCGCCTTCTCGGACAGACTTTGCTATGTCGGCCCTCTTGATCTCTGATAGTCTTTCAATTTCCCGGGATGAACGAGATCACAGGATGGACACCAGGGTTCTCGACGGCTTTTATTATCTGCTCCTCGATGTTCTCTCGAAATTCGAAGTAGTGAAAACGGAAAACGTAACACATCATGCGCTTTTCCTTTTCAAACTGGCCTTGAGGCAATCTCAGAAATATTGATAATGGCATGAACTTCGATTCCCATGCTTCCATCGCAATTAGTGTCCTGCGAGAACAGCCCTCGAGTACCTGGTAAAGGAAATCAAGAAGACTATTATCCTTCTCTCTTCCTAACAACATAGCCTTACCGGCCCCAGAAGGATTACAACTCGTTACTGAGGAGATCCGATTGACAAAGTACTCAGACCAAGGCGTAACAGGGTTGTAGTAGCCAAATTGAGCACCCGAGAGATCCAGACAGTACACACCTCCACGGTTTCGGAGGGTGATCTTGAATATGGAGTGCACATAGTGGGCATGATCTTGCTCACCACCTTGGCCAACTATCAGAACTTCTCTCTTTGGGTTCTTTGCCTCAACGTTCAGTTCCTCAATATTCTGGGCGGTCCCTGTTTTTCGATTAGTTCTTCTGGTCTTGTAAAATGAGAGAGAGGGATGCATTTACTAACCCTCGAGGAAAATCTCTGTCAACTCTTGCATCCACGCAACAGCATCGTGACAAGCCATATGGGCAAGTACAGCGTGCCTGTCTTCTTTACTGGGGAGCAATTCGAAAGGAAACTCATGAAGCACATCCAAATTGGTTCTCATATCTGGATATCGGCCTTCAACCAGATAAAGTTTCCCATCCTTATGCTCAACTTTCACAATCTTGTTATTAAACATCTCTTGGCGAAAAGCGTAGAAGATTCCCTGAAGCGCCTCGCCAGCACGATATAACAGGTTCTTGGTCTGATGAGCCTTGCAAGCAGACTTGTGAAGTTTCCAGTGCTCCGCTTGACATTTTCTGTCGCAATAATAGATGATTGCAACGGCCTCCTCGCCGAGCGGAGAAGAACATCCAGTGCATTTCATATGGGCTGTAGCGCTGCAATGAGCACATGGACCCTTCATCGTGGAGGGAATGGTCGTGGTCGACATGTTGGCTGACGATGGCTCTATCAAGGAATGGGAATTAGTCTTTTTCATAAAGTACACAGTGGGTACAAGCAGAGTTAGATTACTTACGATGTTCTTGCAGAAAATGCTATCTACCTGGAAGAAGATCTGAAGATTGAGGTTTTGGCTTAATGAAATTGGTAAGTCTTTTTGACCAAGCAGGGAGAGATAGGATTCAGGTACTTACATTCAATAATATCGAATTGATCAAGACCGTAGTATGATAATTCTTCAGTAAAGAAAAAAAAACCCCCAGATAGCTTTCCTCTTCTTAGCAGGAAGATTTGAAGGTAGGAAGTTAAGAAACGAAGTTGTGAGGAGAAGTGGAAGTACTTGTAAAAGAAAATAGAAACGGAGCTAAGTGAGGGGACGCACAAAGCTAAGGATCTTCTAATTCACTATATTTCAGTGCATGAACCGTTTAGTGAATTTTGAAGTATAAAACTGAATTTTAATAGATACCTGCTTTCAACTTATGATTTCAATTTCCACAAGCAAGTAGGATCGTCAATGTAGCTGCTAGTAATACAACTGTATAGTTCCATCTGAAAAATCGATTTGCAAAACGCATGAATGATTTCAATGGAAGAAACACATCTTTGAGCTTCTTTTTGAGGCACGAGATACCTAAAAGATAAAAACGAACAAAAAATTTAGAATATGGCACATCTGAGAAAATTCACCCGCATCATAAAAAACTTTTTTTTCGCAATTTTCCTAACTATCCTCCCCCTCCCACCTAATATATTTCCCCTTCCAACCTAGAGTATATGCAAGATCATAATTATTAACCTCACACCCGCGAAATTATTGACACCTAGCACCAAATCCTCCCAACAAAGCCAGAACGAATCATGAAAGAATCCCTACCCCTTTTCTCCAGACGTGATGATGTCCCTGTAGAATGGTTGCTACTCCAGATTATCTGCTAGTCTCTCTTTGTTGCTTCCCAAAGTCGATTCGGGGCGGGATTGACTCCTAATACTCTTCAAAAAGCAAGTCTTCAATAGCCATGTCCTCAAAAGCCGGTTCTTCATCTGCCAAGACATCTCGAGCCCGGATGTTGTTTTGCTGCGTTCGAGATGCATGAATGCGGTCCACAATACCACGTTCTTGCGGTGTAAATTCCGTACGTGGTGGTGCAGGACCTGGGGTTGCAGATCTTGCAATGGCTTGATGTCTTCTGGGAATTTGAAGAGGATTGTGGAATTGATATGGATACCGTGGAAGATTCTCCGTAAAGTGCTTACAGGTTGATAGATGTTCTGCGTTGCCAATTGAGCGGATTAATCTATAATCGACGAAGCATACCCAACAGAACTCGTACTTGCAAGAACGGCCTATTATTTGATTAGCAACCCAGATACTCGATACCCCAAAGATTCAAGATTCAATAGCTTACAAGTCATATGATCACAGCCATCATTCTTCTGGATGCGGACTTGGCAATTGGGACACCTCTTAGTGGCCTTATCCATGAGATCTTGGCTTGCCTCTTCTTGTCGCAGTCTCTCCCTAGACTGCTCATCATAACCTTCACAAGTTAAATCGGTGTGCCAGGGCATTTTGTGAGTGAAGCATGTTTTAAAACTACATGTTCTGCATGTCATGATAGGCTGATCATCACCACCCTCATGGATTTGACCATCGTTACAGCCGGGCCCAAGGCAGTTCGTGAAGTTGGGATCACTTCTGATGCAAGATGAGAGCGATTTCTTATCGTATCTACATCAGGTGTTAGCGTGAGACTGTAAAACATATTTTCAGGGGACATAAAATACCTAATAAAGTCTTCCTCGGAGGCAAATGACTTCACATTGTCGAAGGAGAGAAGTACTGTGCATTCGGGACATGTGATCTGATCCCATTCTTTGCTTTCAATTTGCACACCAATAGACCGAGATAGACATGAGCTGCAGCATGTCGGATCATGCGTACACTCAGCCGAGATTTGATGCGGGAAATTAGCGAGCACGAGGTCTTCTGCACATATAGAACATTCCCTCAGCTGCGGTTGCGGTTGCGGTTCTGACTTTATGGAGTCTTCGTGCTTATTCCGAATATCTCTGTAACCATTGGATATGGGTTCAGCGGATCTCTTGCGTTTGAGGACTCGAGATGCCTGCGACTGTTGGGGTGGATCATTTGGATCATAATAAACGCTGATGGGACCTATGGACCCTCTTTGTAGCCAAAGATAAATAGCTTGTTGCCTTGCATCTGGAACGTGCACACCGCTCTCGATCTCATAGAGTCGACGTAGCAGCTGACTTTTATTATATCTCGAGTAATTTCTTTCGTTCAAAAAACTAAGGATTTTTCTCATGTTGGTTTTGCGGTGATTTAGTGCTGTAAGGCCCATGATACGGTACGGCAAATCGTCGTTTGAATTAATATCTGCCATGATGATTGCTGGTGGTAGGTGGTGATCGATGGAGTTTGTTTGAGTCAGTTTAGGAATCCAGTTACAGTGAGGTAGTCTCCCTGATGAGATGATCGGTCGAAGCTCTGTGGTGGTATCGTTGATTAAATGATAAGCAGAAGTTTTGTAATATTTCTGTCGATGATATGATTGGTAGATTATTTGTTGCTATATCATTAATAAAATGACAAGTACAAAAGCTTATGTGGCGATTTGCGGGGATGGGAAGCAACTAATGAGGTATCGACAAATGAGTCCAAAGAACCACTGGCTGTCGAGTACTTCTTGAAAGTGACAGGTGTTTCGTGCCAAGTACGGAGGTTGTGAGACTCGATAGTGATGAATGTTAGCTGAAATCTCGATGTGCCAGAAACTTCATCATATGTATTTAGATTCGAGGATGAAACAAAGCCGTATCAGAAACACCGTAGCGGATTCCAGGATAGACAGGTTGTGGTAGAGGTTTCTAGAGATCAGTTGTCATATCTATTCAAGAACGGTCACGGATATTCGAGGTGGAGGGTTTAGAAAACCAAAACGAAATACGAGTCCGAACCTGCTTTGTTCTTGAAGGCAGAAGGGGTACGTACTGCAAAAATAGAAATCTTGAGTGAATTTTGCAGGCCAAGTCTAGAATACCAACACAGGTAGGACCTACCTACCAAGAAAAGTAGACACATACAGTGAATTGCATAAAGTGATCCTGAACTAGAAAAATCAAGGGTGAAAGATGTTAATGTTACATCTACATTCCCAAAATAGCCCTGTCTAAATACGGACAGCCAAATGAAGCGAGAGACAGAGGCGATGATCCAAACACGGCAACGGGAACTCGCGTAATCCATTCAAAACTCAAGATTTTCAGGGGCAGCAGACACATAGGATCGCACATGGCGTCTCTCCTCTAGACTCACACTCGTAATTATATCTCTAGCCCCAGCAATATCCCTTACAGGCATCGAAGGTAGTGCCATCGGTGTAGAAACTTCTGCAATCACAACCTCAATCCACGCGATCGATGAACCTGGAAGAGATAGACAAATCATAGATACCTATCTAACTACACTCTGCTATTCAAGTAGTTCTTGAACAACCCCATCTTAATATACTCAAAATCCATCCAAACTCTGAAACCCATCACCAAACCCATACCAACACTCCCCAGATCCAAGTTCCAAACCAACCCCAACAATCACATCAAAAAACACACATCACGCAGCACCATACCAACAAATCAATCTATATATCCTTCTCATTCTATCCCATCCCATCCCATCCCATCCCATCCCATCCCATCCCATCCCATCCCATCCCATCCCATCCCATCCCATCCCATCCCATCCCATCCCATCCCATCCCATCCCATCCCATCCCATCCCATCCCATCCCATCCCATCCTATCCCATCCCATCAATCACACAATATCGCAATCACCTCTTACTCATTTAATATAATCCTCAACCCAATATAAACCCCCCAATCAGTACTAACAGAACAGATTATCAATTTACAGAATAAATCACCCAAATCACTTAAAACCCCCAAACAATCCATCCCCAGAAACCCAGATAATTCAAAATCCACCATCAATATCAACCCAAGCCTAAATCTACAATATATTTACACAAACACCATACCACAAAACAAATAACAGTTCTCACAAATAATCTATCCATCTATCTATCTATCTACCTAATGAATAAACACAATCATCCACAAACAATCCATAGAATAGACAATTTGTAAATCACCTTCAGATGCAGATTATTGTTGCGGAGTCTAATTGAATGATATGTCAATTGTACAGTCTATAAGTTTGGGAAATCAGGATATACACAATACATGATCAAAATGTCCGATGACAAACAAAAATGATTGTGACGTGATCTCACATGACAGTGGAATCTGAAAAGAGGGTTATATCAGAACCCTATTTGAAAGATATCCTGGCTCTGGGCCTACCGTTTAGAGTTAAAGATAGAGGATCAAAAGCAATGAACCCAAAAAGATTAGGGGTGGATTTTACTATAAACCATTCGGTACTTTTCAAAGGTGAATGCACAACAGTAATGATCATGATCTAAAAGCAGACATACCAAAGGAGCCTTTATCATGAGCGTCAGGAAACAGGGTCACACGATGAGAGGTAATCATCAGCTTATTGAGTATCAATGTTATTAATTTATGACTACTAATGATGTGAAACAATTATGCTTTGAATAAATCACTCTCATCTTCAACCCTGTCTATCGATGGTGTCTTATGAGTGAATACCAGTAGATACAAATTTTGACATGACCTGCCATCAAAAGTAATGCTACCTTGGTCATCCACCGCTAACTTCTGGTGAGACCTTTCGTTTGCATTTTCTTACGAACGGCCAAGCTTTGCTCCCTAGCGTATAATCCCTACACGGAATCAGCTCGCATGGCGAATGGATATTAGGTTTGAAATTCTTACGATTGTCGGTGCGGCTTGAGTGGCAATGCCGGTAATATTACTTCCTTAGTTCTGCGATTAAAGGCTGGTAGAGTAGGTAGTTGTGGTGGCTTTCCATCTGCAATACTTGAAGGGGGAGAGTTGGAAGGAGTCAGAGGGGGCCATTCAGATGAGTTTGTAGGGTCAACTGAGACTGTAGGCTTTCCCTTCTCCTGATTGACCTCAGGCAAGCTTCGCTTCTTCTTGTTCTTCGAATCCGTCTTTGGTTGTTCTTGTTGCCCCAAAGATTCAGCATCACCATCTTTAGAGACTTTTCCTTGTTGTTTAACTGGCTTGGGCTCCGTCTTACGGGCAGGTCCAGTATTGGTGGTTGAAGAAACTTTATTATTGTCTGAAAAATTCGACTGAGATTGTTTCTTGAAATCCTTGGAGGAACCGTGAGTCTTTGACTTCTTGTGGTTGGACTTTGCAAGAGGTGCATTGGGAGTAATTGAAGCCGTAGTGGCACTTGGAGTCGAGATGGTTTCAGATTTGACTTCATTGTCTATGGATTTTCCAGTTGTTCGTTCGCCGTCTTTTGGAATTTCGGTTACATCCCGAGTCGCTTGTTGGAGAATAGAGTCTTTCGAGGCGTCGTTAGAGATGGATTCAGTCGAAGAGACACTTGGTTTCCGGGTGGAGTCTCCACTGAACAGTATGTCTTCGCCGCCAAGTGATGGATTTGTAATTGTCGATTCAGTTGGCGAAAGTATGGCAGGGATTACGCTAATGTTGTTTTCCTTATCGATCTCGGCCTTGTTGTTGGATTTGAATTGCTTCTTATTTTTCTTGGACTTCTTCGCCTTTCCTTGAGACGTTGAATCCGAATCCATTGCAGCTACTGTTCCACCCAATGGTTCTGGCAAGGAGCTGTCGACAGGGCCCGATGACTCGAGAATCTCAACCGGTATTTGTTCAACATTTCCTGTTTTCATTGCAGCCAGTGTGTCTACTTTGATCTCGGTGGTCAACGATTGACCTGTTGTAGGGCTTGTCGGTTCCTCGATTGACGAAGCTTTCGGTGAGGTCAACGCATTTTGATCGTTCAGTTGAATTTGAGAAGTCGATCTGACGGAAGTTAAAATCGGGGTTATATTGGCTGGCCTATCTGTATATTAGTGCAACGCTTTAACCGAGCTTGAGCTTTCAATCGAATACATAGACTCACGTATATTGGTCAACTGTCTTCTTCTGTCGACGACCCGGACTGTTAGTTGAATCCTTTCCACTAGGCCTAGATTGTGAAAAGCTTATTGAATGTCAGCGATTTTGGAAATGACAAAATCCTTCGTAACATATATTCGCTTACCTTTTTTTGATTGGCGAATTCTCTTTTTTGTTGACTGGGCGGTTGGGCAAATTTGCCATGTTTTGATCAGCTCCAGGTCTTGTGCCGTTGCGATGACGGTCTGCCTGGGCTCCACTATATGATCGATATGGGGCTGTACCGGCAGTGTTTGTTCTGTTGTTCAATACTGCACTGGGTATTTGTTGTTGGAAATATTTTCCTACTCCTCTTTCATGTTGAAGAACTTCCGTAAAAGCCGCACTTAGTCCATGTCCTGGAATTTGTTGAGCTGGTGCTTGTGTCAAAAGATAAGGAGGGATAGATTGAGAATCTGGTGTATATGGAAAGGGATCAGAGACATTTCCTGGAGTCATATGATTGCCATTCTGATAACGAAATTGGTTTTGGCCGCTCTGGGATTTCGAGGGTCGATGTTGGGATATGGAATTTCTTTTGGGCCAAGCTCGATTTTCAGCCGCAGGATTAAACACATAGCGGTTTTGATTATCTCCATGGTAGCTGTGGTAGCTGGAGTTACTGCCCGATCGCTCTCTTGAATTTTCAAGTGGATATCCTGCTGTAAGTATCCGCCCATTTGGCATCTTGTAGCCATCAAATTTCTCAATTGCCATGGCTAAAACATCGGCATCGAATCTATCATGACAATTAGCTTTAATGCATTATTTGGGTCAGTATGTAAGCTCACGTTATGAAAATCGGACCATTGTTATTGGGCCTGAGTAAAAATTTGATCGACACCACTTTTCCGACTTGGGACATTAAACTTTTCAACTCATGAGTGTAAAACATCTTCAAGTCTGCACCCGTCATGTAAAGAGTGCGGCCAGAGGAGCTTCTTGACGCAGAATGGTCATAAGTATAAAGACAGAAGTCATCTGTTTTATAGAGCTTTGGATCTCCTTCCATTTCACCTAACTCGGCAAGTGATTGACTGATTTTAGAGTTTCCAAAATTCTTAAGATTTCGAACATCATTAGGAAGTTCCATACGAGAACCAACCGAATTATCTTTGCCCATGCGACGGTTGAAATTGTCAGTAAAAGGGACAGGAGCAAGCTCATTGTGGAAGTAAATAGGCTCGGGCTGAACAGCTCGAGGAGGGCTTCCTCGCGTGCTATTGAACATGTTTTGTTGTTGATTGTTCTGCGATGGATGCATAAATTTTTGTGGCTGAGTTCCATGAGGCCCGGTCCAT